AACCAACAGTCTTTCTTCTCCATGAATGCAGCATCCAAGAAGCCTTACAAGGTTCCAATGCTGAAGTTTGGTAATCAATTTTTCTTCATTTTTGAACCCGTTCAATCCTTCTCCAGAACTCTTTGAAAGCCTCTTCACGGCAATCGCTTGTCCATTTGCTAGTATCCCCTGGAAAGTAACATTTGACCTTCATTAATAAAAGATAAATTCTCTGTAGTTACGGTAACTTCAATAATATGATGCAACTTTTACCTTATAAACAGTTCTAAAACCACTTTCCCCTACCATATTGTCCATAGAAAAACTATCAATAGCACAAGATATGGTAGCGAGCTTACTCCAAGTCTTCATCCTGCTTTTGATTTCCTTGATCATTGCCCTTAATGTGTTCTGTTTCCCTGAAACAGTAGTCAAAATATGCTTGGCATGCACCATAAAATATGCTAGGTTCTTACGCATTTTGATTCAACTATATAACTGAAAAAAAAAAAATAGAATTGAAAAAAGAGAAAATGTAGACTCATACCTGATTCTGAAGCAGACACTCCAACATATAGATCCTGCCCTTTTGATTGAAATTGTCTGCAATCAATCAGATGATGAAACCAAAAGGCCCAACCACTACCTCTTCCTCTGTTATCTGAACTAGTGTATGCCATATAGGAATAGTTCTGTAGATACTTAGCCCTGGATCCCTTGAGACTCATAGTTTTAGTCACCCTAAAATGTGTAGCATTTGGCATATTCAAATCTTTTAAATCTGATAATTCAATCTCTGCTTTGATAGTTGAATGGCTTATTGTGCTTACACCCTAGGGACCAGTCTGATGAGTTCTATCTTTCAGGGAATTCAGGCTTAAACATCAGCTTTCAGGGAATTAAGGCTTGAATCCTTTAGAAAGTGGGAGCTGAGTACCATAACAATTCCCTTTTGAACCACAAAGGCCAAATCTATCAAAGTCGTCTCTTGGAGCAAATGAGAAAAGCATCCAAGCTTGCTTTCTGCATTTCATGTGCAGACCTGTGTTCAATGATTTCTATTTGTGACACTTATGATGGTTGACATATAAAACAGAAATACCAGGTGGGTAGATCATGCGTAGTTTTTAAACGATGATGTGGTTGACTGCCTTTTGATGAATGAAGTATACACAAAGTGCAGCAGAAAACAAATTATAAACACTGAGGTTCCAGATAATTTGTATTTCTTAACAATATGAAGCTTATTCCTTTAATCATTCTCTTCATTGGACAAACATAACTTCAATGACTTACTTGCATTAAATGATCTCAAATTCATCAACCATTTGAGACCAGTGTGGATGTGCAGGATTGTCCTAAGAATTGATCACCAAGTTCAACAGGGGTGCCTTCCGTCCTCCCATAATCTCCAAGCCTGCAGCAAATTGAAAACCTTTTGGTCATTTTGTTATATCTTTCAACATTTCAATTCATAATAATCAAAGTATTTTTGAAACATGCGAGTGAAGATGAAAATAAAGGAAAGGGGTGGGAAGGTGTAATAGGAAGGGGTGTAGGACGTGTCAGATAGCAATTGGCGGAGATTGAAGGGTGTTGGGTTGGGGATTTCATTTGGGTTTCTGCATTTCATGTGTAGTTTTGTATCATCAGTTTGGTTAAGAACAAGTCACACCAATAGGCATTTCCATTAAAAGCATATATGGTAAGCATCAAATGGGAATGCAATCACTTGATCATTAAAACATAACACAAAGCATAGTCTGATAAAGAGAGTCTGTAGCATGAGAGATAAGTAGGATACAACTCTCACAATGGACAATTTCAAAGAAGCCAGAGTTGTAGTGTTATAAAATTTGGACTGGGAAGAAGAAAGATTTATGCATCATCATTTTGTGGAAGAATGAAGGAAGAAGGTTCAGTACGAAGTGCAGTTACACTTGTTTGAAACATTTTGAGTTTTTATAGTTTTGTTTTAAAATGTGAAAAAAATTAAAAACCAAGTTTCAAAAGTGTGAGTGAAAATGAAAATAAAGGAAAGAGGTGGAAGGTGATAGAGGGGATGGGCGACGTGTCAGATAGCAATTAAGAGATAAAAACAGGACGTGGATGAAAATAAACTTACAGTGTGTTTGCACTTCTTAATAAGAAGCAAGAGCCTTACAGCCACATTTAATCGAACACCTCTTCTCCATCTCATTATATCAAATATCGAACAAAGGGAGAAACGACATCCTTAGCATCAGGCTGATCCCATTCCACTGATTCCCACCGTGCTCTCGGGCCTACAAAGATTTCTTGCAGGGAAGGAGGAGGAGATGGTTTCCCATTTTCAACAAGGGGAAGAGACAAAGGGATCCTCTTGAGTTCTGGACATCTGACTATAGTAAGAGTTTGGAGAGAATTTGCAGGAATCATAAGCCCAGCACTGCAAATGCTTTTCAATTTTGGTAATTCAATCAAGAGTAATTTTTTTAATTTGGGAAGAATAAATGTTGTTCCTTCTCCTTTGTGATTTTCTTCTGATGCTACTATTATTTCCTCCATTTCTTCACATTCGAAAACCTTAATTTCCTCTAAGTTTTGGAGGCCCTGCAACAGCTCAACTGGAAACAACTTCTTAATTTTCGAACAACAACTCAGATCCAATGTTCTAAGAGAAGAGAAGATGGCAGGTGGTGTTGGAGCATGAGAGGTACATTCATTTTCAACCGCTACTCTTACTCCTACTCTCACAACTTCACGCAAGTTCCGCAATCTACATAGGTATAACACCTCAATGTCGTGGAGTATGTCGCAAGACGATAATGACAAGTCAACCACACACTTCATCCTTCCACAATCTCTAATTTGACATTTCTTCAAGTCAGTCGCCTTACGAAACAAAGGCATATTGTTTAAACATTTGAAATCATCAATCTTCGCTATAGTTAAACTTCGAAGATCATGTGGGACCACCCTATCATCACACTTCCCTATCTCCGAATCTGTGAACATAACCTCTTTCTCAATTTTTTTGAAATTTGGGGAAAACAAAAGATTAGTATCCCAGTCCACAAGTGGTCCCACTTGAAAAGTGAAAGACGTAGGCCATTGACCTTGTGTACACTCTGCGTATTTCTTAAACTCTTGCATGCTGCTAAATGAACATGAAACCCACTCAAGCTTCCTCAGTTGTCCTACTTCTTCTCCCTTTACAAGCGTCTTCCCTATCATTAAGCATTGGAGATGACAAATCCTCGGTAATATTTCTACTGGTACCCCTTTTAAAGCCGTTGACTGCATACGTAGATCTCTCAAGTTTTCTAACATCTCTATGCCATGAGGAACCTTTTTAATTCCTGTGCACAAAAGGTTCAACTTTCTTAGTGCTGTGAGCTCTACCAACGAAGGCATATATTTTAACTGCCAACAACCAACAAGTATCAATGCATTGAGAGTGTTCAGGTTAGAGATCGAATTGGGCAGATACTCTAAGAAATGATTATCTGAAAGATCTAGAACTTTTAACCCAGCCATGTGCTTAAAAAAGGATTCTGGAATACTTTTTAAGCCACAATTTTGCAATATCAAAGTTGATAAATGAGGCCATTTAGGTGATATGTGAGGAGGAATTTTTATTAATTTTGAATTTTGCATCAAAGAAACCTTCTCAACACTCACTGTCCATTCTTGCTCACTTGGTAATTCCTTCAATTGCATACCTGCTTTTACCATGAACTGATGACCTGCAATATACAGCGCCATGTCCCTCAAAACATCATGCATCTTAACTCCTTCATGTATTCCATAAGAAGGAGACGTAGCCCTCTCTAACAAGAAAAAATCTTCAAGCTTATTTAAAATACTCTGGCCTCTGTCATGCATTGCTTCTTTAGTCCCTAAGCCAAGGAGTCCTTCATCTATCCAGTCTTCAATTAATCCATGCCTTGCGATCACAAAGTCTTCAGGATACAACGAGCAATGTAAGAAACAATTTTTGATATTTGGATCGTTCAATCGATCGTAACTAAACTTCAATTGCTCGAATATTTTGATGTCCCATTCTTTCACACTTTTCACACGGTTCTCTAATTCTGCTAGTGCATTCCTCCACTCACAAATATCATCTACCCCCTTCATGCTCCCGGCTATTGTCACAATGCTAAGTGGTAAACCGCGACATTGATCAACCACTTTGTCGATAATGTCTTTTAAATTTTGATATTGTCCAACACTAAGCCCCACTGCATTTAAAAACAAGTTCATGGACCCATTTTTTGAAAGCGGTTGCACTTCGACCACTACACAATCCATACATCTACAAACATCGGCCAATCTGCTAGTGAGTACAACTTTCCTCCCCATACTTAATGTTGGATCAGGGATTCCTACATCCAATAGAGAAAATTGTTCCCAAACATCGTCTAAGATCAATGCATATCTCCTTCCCTCCAAATAATTCTTTAATCTTGCTGCTCGTTGCAATTCATTATCCGGAAGAGATTGTAATTTCAAAAATTCTGCAATGTCCTTTTGCAATTTGAAAATATTCGATTCTTTTGATACGGTGATCCACATCACTATATCAAACTTTTCTGTTTCCTTTGACAATTGATCATTGATATGCTTCATGAGAGTAGTTTTCCCTATGCCACCCATTCCACACACTCCGATCATTGGAACACCATCACCCATCAAATACTCCCAAATTCGTGTTCTTACATCGATTTGACCTTCTGGATTTGTTGTTGATAATGGCAGCCCGATTTGTGGAGGCCCATCAACTGCCACACCATCAGAGAAACTACCTTGTTGGTAAATTTTGTTTACTTTTTCAATATTTTGGCAAACAAGACTTCCTAGATGGCCACGTGACCAGAATGAAACAGAAAGGAACTTCTCTTCAATATTTTTCACTTCATTGCCTACCTTTTCAACATCTTTAACCCAGTTCTCCACTTCTTTCTTCATCTTTTTCCCGCAACGATCCTCTGCTTCCATTTTTAATTCGAGGTCTCGCTTTCGAGAATTTAGACTATTTACATTTCCTCGAAGCTCATTCATATAATCTTCAAGTTTCCGATGATGATTTATGTATGGAGCCCCAAAGCTCCTTATCACTTCAACAAATGACAATACCCAATCCATATTACAAGCTCACTGCAGTTTAAAAACCCAACGTATATTAAGATTCTTGCTTCACTCGTTATGTTTGAGTATAGCAAAGATAAAATTGTCAATGAAGCTTTGTTTCAATGGTAAGGAAGAAGTGTAAGTTCTAACCATAAGTAGGGAAGCTGGTGAAAACAACAATATATCCCACCAAGACATTAAGAAATAATTGCAGGAGTAAATTGTGAGAGCAATGACCTTCAGGATATATACCTGGTTTGTTCTTCAAATCATTTGGAAAGATGAAACCCAAAGGTCAGTTAAAATGATCCTCAATCCTCCTTGGCTCTTTGTTAAGCACAAACTTCTTAGGCAGAAGAAACAAACTGTCATAAAATTAACAAGGAAAATTAGTGGTGTTAATAAAGGAGAAAATCTTATGTGTTATAGTCTTCAGAATTATTTGCCTAATTAAGAAAATAGAGGCATGACAAAAAAACCAAAAAAGATAAGTGGAAGGAAAGATGATGAATCTAAGATTCCAAAAAACATGTACCCAAATATATATTAAACAGTTTAATTACCTGGTCAAGTGAGGTAGCTGAGCGGGAAACTAGGATCTCTTTCAAAATTTGTGAAGAAAACAGCAACAAGCAGATCTGCTCCCAAACTATTTTCTATGAATGATTGAAAAGTGGACAAGCTGAGTATTAATGTGGAAACTTAAATTAAAGCCCAACTTGTGTCGGTAGGTATGGTACGATAAGTTTATGTTATAAGTTAAGATTCTGATTAATTACTGCTACCAAAGATAAACATAAATCACACAAGTATAAACAGTTTACCTGGTTCAGGGAGACGGTGAATTGATACTTCTATCTTTAGAAGGTCTTTGTTAAATTTGAGAAGCAAGCACACTCAAGAAATATAGCAGCAATAAGCAGATGATCTCCGTGAGAAGAGAATCAACTTGTGAAGGTAAAAAGAATTAAAGTGGATGCAAGTCAACAAGTCAATGCAAGTCATGACATCGGTTTCTGGGTCACTTCCCCTAAAGCTGCTTTGAAATAAAGAACATAAAAATAAAAGAAAAGATAATAAAACTTTTCCACTCTTTTTAAAGAAACAATAATCTAAGCCTCTATAATTATTTGGAAACTAAAAAGGAAGCACCCGAGAAGAATCCAAAGTCCATCCAATGTGTTTGTGACGAAATAAAATACGAAAAAGTTAAAGAAATAGGGAGGCATAAGTGCATTGTGGGGCAGTAATTGGATTCTCCTGTCTGATAGAATCCCGCAAATAATTCCTTCAATTGCGGAGCAGATTTTACCATGAATGGTCCACCAAAACTGTTAATAAACAGTGCAATGTCTCTTAACTTTTCCCTTGGAAGTCATAAATAAGTGCAACTCTCTTCAACCGACAATTATTTAAAATACTATGGCCTCTGTCATGCATTGCTTTGTTTAAAATAAGTGTAACTCCATGCTACCTGCTATTGTCACATGGCATGTCTTTCCCAGATACTTCTAATAGGTCCTGGCTGATTAGGCAGAACATATCTTCAAATTGGAAAAATTAAGGGATTAGACTTTCTATAAGATCCAACATCTCACGTTGCAAAGAATATAATCACACTCCAAAATGAAATTTGTAATTATAAAGTCGTACAAATTCTAATTATATAACACTAATTAATGATTAGATAAGATTTAAATATGAGAGTGGATATGCCGTATAAAAATATCAAATAAAAATTTTAAAGAGAATTATGACTTTTTGAGAAGAGCACAGTGGAGATTTTTCGTCACATTTTTTTTATAACTATATTTATGAGCAGCCTTAGCTTCATATATTATCAATTGGTGCATGGGAAGCTTTGAAGAACATTATGAGACAATTAATAAGTACTCATAACTATATAGAAAAGAAACGATAGCTTCTATATGAAGCATTTTGCTGGCAAAATGCATGCAGGGTGCCACATGATTGGATATTTCAGTTGCATGGATATTGGAAGTCCTAGGATAGCAATTGTTTGGGGAGAAAGAAATTTCTGAGAAACCTTCCTCAATGTTGACAGGGACTTTTCATATCATCTGTTGTGACAAATTGACTTTCACTAACCCCCACTACTTTCCCCATTTTTGGGGTAATAAAAAGAAGTTGATTTTTTCCAACTTAAATTGAGCTATTGGACAGCCTACTAATGATCTCAAAGACTTCACTATCCAATTGAACATCAAATACAAAATTCCACCTGGTTGAGCTCCCAACTGTGTAGAAAACAAAAATCAATTAAATATTGTTCAATTCTTGCGTGT